TTTTTTTTTTTTCGTGTCATCGAATACAATTATTGCTTCTCAACTTCGTTTTTTACTTTTAACTTTGCGATTTCGTTGATTATTTTTTCTTCATTCGTTATTATTTGTTTCTCTTCCGTTGTTTCATTCTCGATATCCTTTTGTTGAGAAATCGCTTCATACTCTTCAGTCCGCTTCAACGATTTCATTTGATCTTCGTTATCAGTACTCTCGCTATAACTTACATCACTGCTAGATTCGCTGTCACTTTCAATACGCTTTTGTTCCGAATTGCTTTTGCCAGCATAAATCTCACATTCAGATCCTACAATCTTCTTAGCTTTTTCAAATGTTTCCTTCCACATTGACGCATCTATCCCAAACAAGTAAATATTCTACGATATTATTATAATACTATTAGCGATAATACAGTTTGCGATAGTTATATTTTATACATAAAAACTAATATAGTAGTTGAGAACTCACTTTCAGCATTTGCAAAACGTATCGCAAGTAATTCTGGCTTGAGTTGCTCATCAGCGTAATCAGCAAGTACGCTCCAAACCCATGCTCTGTCACTGCCGCAATTTGGTTTCAATTCCATCCATGGAGTAATGAAATGATTCGCACAGATCTTGAGAGTTTTGTCTCTGCGCATCACTACTCTAACTGTATTTTTCATTTTGTGTCTTAATAATTTGACCTCTCCTGTGCCACGTTCCTTCCATTCCGCAGGATTGCTCGACGTATCATAACGATATAACTTTGCCCGTCTACAAAACATAAAAACATACACAAAATATATGTGTATACATTGTTAATTGTTTCCTTTAAAATGAAAATTCTTCTTTCTTATTAACTCTTACACACTTAGTTTTTGGCATCCTCACTACACACAATGGATCTTTCGTGTCGGATTAATTTTTTCTCATCATTTTTTTAAGCGTATAAAAATTATTAAGCGATTTTTATGTATATTTTGATGTCTTTAGAAAGTACTTCTAAAGTACATTTATAACAAATTGTATAAATAAATTATTATAACTAAATAGTTTACAAAATGAGAAAAAAATATACTTTTTCATACAAAAATATAAAACTCTGAAACAAAAGTGTTCAAAGAAAAAATATGTTTCAATCTTAAAATTGACATTCCAAATTGCAAAAGAAAAAATAATTCAAGCAATTCGGCTGTTGAAAAAATTTAGTAAATAATTTAGAAATTATTCAATAACTTGAAAATGTTTTTATTTAATATGCATGAATGGCTGTAAATTGAAGATATTACATTTATATTTTAAACAATATATTTTATTATTGTTATTGTGTTAAAAAAAATTTGTAATTTATTAGGAAAATATTCTTAGTAACATTACAAATAACACAAAAGTACTAAAAACATCATGTTAATTAAGAGTTAATATGTTGTTCTAGGGTTAAATTCTTTTTTTAATAATTCACGAAATATTTTTGCAAAAAGAAATAAAATTTTTTTAGTTACAAAAATTGTATATTCTGTATACAGGATGGGTCATTTGTGACAGAGATAAACTTTGGAGTTGTTCTAGTCAAAGGATATGCATGAATTGAGGCCGGCATTGAGACAAACCTTGGCTCACAAAACTTGGCTCTAGATGCCTTTTTTAGGAATACTTTTTTTTGGGGAATGGAAGAGAGACCCTGGTATTTGACCAAGTGTACTTAGTATTTCAAAAAAAAGAAATGCACAGAACACGAATAACTCATAGATGTGTATTAAGAAGTTAACTTACAGCTTCAACATTTCTATCTCGTCCTCTTCATTGTTGGATACTTCTATCAAAGGTAATGAAATTATAGGTTCAAAATGAACATCATTTTCAATATTCTCTTCATCATTATCTTGAGGTTCACCATTTACCTCGATACGATCACCATTTAGCTTAAAAAAGAAAAGAAATCACTTCTACTTTTACGGTATATATTCCAATTGGAGTATAAGCTCACAGTTAAAAAATATAAAATTTTTATCGAAGATTAAAAAAATATAAAGACAGATGAATTAATTCTCATTCATCTCCAAACATATACGAGAGAAAAATTATTAAAAAAATTGAGATAAAAACAATGTCGAAAACAATTATCGAAAAAAAATACATCTATTCGTACAAAACGTACTCATTTCGAAATAGTACGTAACGTAACCTATTGTTGATCGTGACGCGATCTAAATTGACTCATGCTTAATCGACTGATCTAAATTTTACTTTAAATGAAAAACGTAAAGAAGGAAAGAATCCTGTCAAAAAAATATGTACGTACCACATTCTCCGGCATCTTTTGTCGACACTGGTCAGAAAGCTATAAAGTGCTAAAGAAATTTATACGCTCGCCGACAATCGGACAATCGCTACAATCGCGTACGTATTTGTATGTATGATGATATATGGTATCGTGGTAATACTGGTAATCCGTATTGTTCCGTATTTCCGTCCGTATTCATTCGTATTGGTCCGTATCGTCCGGTCGGTTGTCCGTTTGGTTTCGGCAGCATTCAGCAGCTGTCACAGTCGATTCGACAATCGATTTCCTTCAATTCAAAGTTATATCGAAATATCGAATACTTTTCGACTTTGCTTCAATTTTAAGATTTGTTTTCATTAATCTGTAAAACATATTTAAAAAACGACCACATCGAATCAGCCTATTTTTTTATTATATTATTGAGCTTGAATTACTTACAATTAATATCAAAGCGTTCACATTAACGTAGGAATTTACAATTAAAGTAAACAAAATTTGAGTGAATTAAATTTCAACCAAAAAAAATTAAATTAAATTAAATTAAATTAAATTTCGAATTAAATTTCGACGATTTAAATTTCAACCGGTTGAAATTTACTTTATTGCGAGATTATAGGTAAATTTACCGTTATTTCCATTTCCGTTAGATTACGTAATCTAAAGCAGTATCCTGATTGGTTCATCAGCTTAAGTTTACACCTTACACATATGCCCGTATTCATAATCAGATCTTGTACTTAAGACTTCCTTAAATTTATCTTTAGCTTTTTTGATTAACAGCCAATGAAATAACTCATAGAGTATCTAAAGATAAATTTGAGGAAGACTTAAATATAAGACCTGACTATGAATACGAGTAAAAATATTTGTAGCGACTTTGACCATAGCCTATGAATACGAGTATATATGAATATCTGTCCAATGTACATTGGCCGACTGTCACGCCCGCTAAACGTCAACTGCGTCAAACACAGTGGCACTTTGAGAATCGAAAGTGTGATGGCGCGCATGTTGCGAGGGTTGTGACTTACGAGTGTGTTCGCGAGTTCGAGGAAGCGAGTATATACTTACATAGGTCATGAGACGTGAGCAGATGTGAGAGAGCGGGAGAAGTGGAGTGGAGTGGAGTGAAGTGGCGGAAGGGAGTGGAGTATGCGCGCGCGGCGCGATTCCGGACGGCCATTGCGAATAACTTGTACGAAGCTGCGAGCTGCGAGCGCGATTCCGTATCGTACGGCACACAAGTGAAAAATTTCGGTGAATCGACGTTTATCTCTGTACTAAGGTGCCCCGTGTCAAGTTTGGAACGCGCACGACACTCCGGCCCGATGGCTGAGACCGACAAATTGAATATCGACAACATCATAGCTCGTCTCTTGGAAGGTAAAGCTGGTCGATCGCTACTCTACGCTGGTCGCTACATAGGAGCGAAAGGGTGGGAGAGCGTACAATCTCGTACATCGCTCGCTCAACTCGCCCGTCTCCCTCTGGCCTCCCCCTCGCCTCTGTGTGCTCACTCCCTTCATCTCTGCGCCTTCATTCCTTCCTTTGCATCCGCGATTTTTCTCGCTATGCTCTCAGATGTACCACAACGATTCCTGCTGTTGGCCTATCTATACATATCTCTCTCTCTCTCTCTCTCTCTCTCTCTCTCTCTCTCTCTCTCTCTCTCTCTCTCATACGCATGCACAAACGCAAGAGCATATCGAAACGCCATCCCGACCATTGGTCGGTTCATCTTGTCGGCGTTACGCAATGTCCTCGAAAATGATGAACGCGTTCCGATCGACTCTCATCATCGACAGAATGCATTAGTTTGTTTATACAAAAATGCATTTATTTTACAATATCGTACACGTACTATATATGCATCGTCGCGATTCTGATTTCTGGGCGAGCAGGGCGAGGTCCTTTCGTCCTGCCAACCATACGGCGAAATGATTAACCGTGAAAAGAGCCTTGTTATTCGGCAGAATACTGTCTTAGGCCAAGTCATTTTGTCGTGTTATTGTTACTTCGAGAGACAATTACTTTGTCAGGAGTGTGAAAAAGTTTCAAATAAGGTAGACTTCTCTCTTTCTCTCTCTCTCTCTCTCTTTCTTTCTCTCCTACGAGATAAGATTCTTATTTATACACTGTATTACATTTATATACTGTGTTACATTATTTTTTTGTATAACTAGTGCTTCTTAAATGTCGGACTCTATAAATTCTTTCAAGCTTTACGTTAGAATATGAGAATATATCTATTGAGATGTAAAGCAATTTATCGATATATATATATATATATTATGTATATATTTCTCAATTGTTTATCTCTTATTTGCATATACTTATTCTTGTAGAAAAATACTAGATAAGGAAATAGATTATCTCGGACAATATTTGACAATGCTATAGTAACACAGGAATCATTAACGAAAAAACATTTTCTCTCATTCTTTTATTAAAAGATTTTAGTAATTATGTTAGAAAAGGTAGGAGATAAAATAAAATTTACGCTTACAATGCATATGATTTTCACATATTTTTTCCATTGTTTAGTACGAGGAGCAAGACCAGGTAAAAATGTTCAGTTGACAGAAGTGGAGATTAGAGGATTGTGTCTCAAGTCACGTGAAATCTTTCTATCACAACCTATCCTTTTAGAACTCGAAGCCCCATTGAAAATATGTGGTAAGCAAATAAGCATACATTAAACTATATCAAATTACGATTTTCTAAGGAAAGCTACATCCATATAAATTTATATTTTGATGACATTTAGTCATTTAATATTGACTTTATTCATTAATATTGTGCAATTTTGTTTGTAAGGTGATATTCATGGACAATATTATGATTTGTTGCGATTATTCGAGTACGGTGGTTTTCCTCCCGAAAGCAACTATCTTTTCTTAGGAGATTACGTTGATAGAGGGAAACAATCGTTGGAAACTATTTGTCTTCTTCTTGCCTATAAGATCAAGTATCCAGAAAATTTCTTCTTGTTAAGAGGAAATCATGAATGCGCGTCCATTAATAGGATATATGGATTTTATGATGAATGTGAGTATGTGTGTGTGTGTGTGTGTGTGTGTGTGTGTGTGTGTGTGTGTGTGTGTGTGTGTGTGTAACAAATATTTTCCCTCATGATATTCTTTTTATGGTTGTTGCTCATTTCGATTAATAAAATTATGTTTTAGGTAAACGTCGTTACAACATTAAACTATGGAAAACATTTACTGATTGCTTCAATTGCCTACCTGTTGCTGCGATAGTAGACGAGAAGATATTTTGCTGCCATGGAGGCTTGAGTCCGGATCTTCAAAGCATGGAACAGATCAGACGTATCATGCGACCGACAGATGTACCTGATCAGGGATTACTCTGTGATTTATTGTGGTCTGATCCCGATAAAGACACTATGGGTTGGGGTGAAAATGATCGCGGTGTATCCTTCACTTTCGGCGCAGAAGTTGTTGCCAAGTTTTTGCACAAGCATGATTTTGATCTTATATGCCGTGCGCATCAGGTAAAAAAATTTTTAATATATACGTATTGGATAATATATATGTATTTAATATATATGTATTGGATACTTTGTTCATAAGATGCTTCTTAAATGGAAAATTATTCTTCAGGTGGTGGAAGATGGTTATGAATTTTTTGCCAAACGACAATTGGTGACTCTGTTCTCGGCTCCGAACTACTGCGGCGAGTTTGACAATGCAGGTGCCATGATGTCAGTGGACGAGACTCTCATGTGCAGTTTCCAAATTTTAAAACCGGCCGATAAGAGGAAATTCACCTATGGTGGTCTCAATGCTGGACGGCCTGTGACGCCACCGCGGGGTGCAAACAACAAAAATAAGAAGAAGTGAAGTCCTTAGATTTATCTTTCGAATGCGATGCTTGGAACTGCTACCGCCCAACCCGACATCTATCTATCGAGACATTAAGACCGCGCGCGCGCGCGCGCGCGCGCGCGTGTGTGTGTGTGTGTGTGTGTGTGTGAGAGAGAGAGAGAGAGAGAGAGAGAGAGAGAGAGAGAGAGAGAGAGAGTGTAGGCGCGCGCGCGAAAGAGATATGAGTTATAATAATAATAATTATTATTATATTATTATTTTTGATTGACTACGAAGCCTGTGTGGAAATAATTACATCTTATCGGAAAATCCGGAGAGGCGTTGCTTTTCACAGAGTTTATCAAAAGTAGTAAGTAATAGTGCATATGTTGTAGCTAAATGTGTTATCATATAAAACAAAATAGTAGTGATGAAACCAATCGATCGATTATAAAATTAGAGAGAATTTTGCGTGGTTTTCATGACATTCTTAACAATTGAAAAGTAAAATGTAGAAAAAAAGAAAAACAAGCACTTTTCGCTATAATTCGTCTTTCCTATTCGTCAATCGTAACATCTGCATCTTGTAGCTTGTTCATCATTTGCATTTACACTCGTCAAGTGTTTGATTAATCGAGAAAGGACGTGACATTTTTTTGATCACTTTACGCTGTGAGAAAAATCGATATGATAATAAATTGTGTCACACATATACACCTATACTCACGTGCACACTCTCGTTTCATTATGTAAGTATGCTATTAACGAAGATATCGATACACAAATAATAAAGTAGCCATCATCTAGACTTAATTCCCTAAAGTATAATAGATATTTATAGCTTGGTACTTCTGTAAGTTACACAAATTTGTAAACGACATCTATTACGTCATACCTACTTTTATAAATATACATTTATATATGTGTGAATTGTG